CTCTTCAATGTATCAAGTTGTTGTTTCCACCGGTGGAGGTGCAGTTATAAGACCCATTAACTGGTGTGTTCCCTTCATCCTGTTCAAATTATAATGATATGAAACTCGGTTCCTTGTTAAACTTATTTGGTAATCTGATGGTATTATCAGGAAGTATATGCATAAAGGAATCAGCATTTGGCTAGATGTGCCTCTAGAAGCCTTAGCCCATAGAATCGCTGCTGTTGGAACTGGTTCACGACCACTGTTACACGATGAATCAGGAGATGCATACTCAGTGGTACTGATCTGACTGTTATACAATCATAAGCCTTGGATACGTAAACAAAGAATTCATCTTTTTCGTGTTTGTGATTGTGAATGAATACTTGTAGGCTTTCAAACGTCTCTCGACTATTTGGGATGAGCGCGGTGAAGCATACACAAATGCAAATGCCAGAGTCTCCTTGGAAAGTATGTCTTCTTCATCCATCTGCTATAGCCTTTGTTCAATCTGTGTAACTTCTTCTGGTAATTTTGCTTTCCTTCCTTGTACTTGAATCATCAGATATTGCAGCCAAGCGTGGCTATAAAGATGTCTCAGATCTCACACCAACTGAAATCGCTATCGAGGTAAGTCAGGTCCTTTTCCTGTTACTTCATCATTAATCTGTTCAAATCAAACTAAACAAAGCAAATCACTCATCATCAGGCCTTTGAGCAAGTTCTGAGCTTTCTAGAGAAAGAAGAAACTATGGAGATCCCAGACGGCGACCTCTAATTTCCCAGCCTCCTGTTCTCTGTCTCTTCATTTATCTGTTCAATCAACTCAACGAAGCAGTCACTCATCACCAGGCCATTGAGCAAGTTCAGAGACAAAGAAAGTCCTCTAGTTACTGGTTCTGGGTCATTGGAGCTTGCACGAGCCAATTTTGACTGGAACAATGCTTTTATTAGAAGAAGATACAATACATGTATATATTACTTATAATAATACTCTTTGTTTCAGTATCATTCTTCTCTTTTCCTTGAACAAAAAGAAAAAGTAGCAGTGTTGGTTTTGTTAAGATGAGCCAGGAACAAGCAATGTGTACGAACACAATTTTACTGGTATTATTCAAATCTGAAAGTAGCTTTCTTATGGAATTCAACAAAAGAAATGGACAGAAGAAGTTGATTTAACCCTCAAAAGGTACAGAAGCAAATCTATAACAATCATTACACCGGCGATTTATTTCATCTTGGCTCAGGGCCTCAGGCCAAGCTATACCCTTTGTCGATCCACCATTTCTGGCAACACCGTCTAAATCACTATGTGCACAATGATAGTTACTCACAGACAAACATAACAGAACCAATCGCCCTGAATCAAAAGCAGATCAGCGTGTAGCATGGATGATGATACATTAGACATGTATGTATCACTATCAAACTGTAGCTGCCAAGCAATTCACAATGGCAGATTCATTAGGAACCGTAAGCACGGTACCAGACCACAGGATCTTCCCCCAAATCTCCCCTTCTCCACGCCTTTCAACATCAATCTCCGCACACCAAATCTCCATCCTCCTAGAACCGCCACTACCAGCTTTACCTTCCCACAAAACCGCAAGCTTTCCACCCCGATTCGCCATTGTAGCCCCACAAAGAAACTTAGGAAGTGAATCCACACCTTTCAGCTCTCTCCAAACCCTCTCTTTTGGATCATACCCTCTAATCTTCCCCAAGTAATCATAACAATACAATATGTTCTCAATCACACAAGCTCTTCCTCTCCATCCCAAATCAAGCCTCTTCTCAGGCATATCCCATTTCTTTTCCTTGGGCTCGTAAACAACACCGTTTCGATCAGCCATTGCATAAACCTTCCCTTCCATAACCGCACTTGCGTGCATCCATTTCTCACGCACCTCCATACCTGGACTAGCCACTGGCTCCCAAATTTGAGTCTTTATATCAAACATCTCTGCCCAATTAATCGATCGAGCCCAGTTATCAACCACACATCCTCCAATCACATAAATCTTCCCATCAATTACACCAGCTGCTGCAAATTCACGACCTACTCTCATATTAGAGACTCGTCGCCAAGTATGAAATCTGCAATCGAGAACCCAGACGCTTGAAGAAGGCACGTCTCTAATAGATCCACCGATTACGTAAATATCTGAATCTACCACAACGTAAGCAGATCCAACAAGAGACGGTGAAGGACAAGACGGGATTGGAACGAGCATTTTCGAATTCGTTGAGCTCGATAAGGTTCGATGGAGAAGAGTGAACCAACACGCACCAGATTCAGGAGGTAGACGAATTGCGACATAGAGGATGTTTTCAGTGGCTCCGACGAGAGATCTCGTGGCGTAGAGCAAAGGCGATGTTGGGAGAGATCGGAAAGTCTTGGAGACGAGAGAGAGGATCGGATGGTGACATCTTGAGACTCGAGCAAGGCAATTCAGAGCAACGTCGTCTGATAATAATGGAATCAATTGAGCCGGTGATTTTATTTCCGGTGGTTCGTCGCCGGAGCTCGTTGTAGCCGCCATGTAACAGATTTGATCAGTCTTATTATCTTCTCGATTTAAATAAGAGAGAAAATGATTTTGCATTATTCGGTTCGGTTCGGTTCGATTAAAACCAATCCGAGCCGAGAAAATACATTTAAGAGATAAACCGGATTTAAACCGATATAATTGTGCCGTTATCTATAAGTGCTGACGTGGCAGAAAGCATGATCCGGTGGTTTGAAAGAAGCCACGCGCTTTCTCGTCTTCCCTTCGTCCGACGATTGCAATTGGGAGAAGAAGAAGAAGACGATGAAGCATTATCTGATTCTGGGTTTGTTAAAAATCGAAAATTACTTGAGAATTTTTTGAAGAATTATGATTGCATTAACTGTTTCTTCGTTGGGAAATACTCCGATTGCTTCGTTTAACCGGCGTTTCAGATTCCGGTTACATCCACGATACCCTCCGATACAAGCAGCGGTTTCACCTTCTTCTTCTTCTTCTCCTACTGCTTCTGGGTTTGATTTGAGTTCTCTCGAATCCGCCATTAACAAGGTCAATTCTGTTCGAAACCTTTACTTTTGATTCGATGAACTTTGCTTAAAGCGTAATTCTGAAAGTTGGTTCCTTTATTGACACAGAAAGATAGTAATGGTGTTAAGGAAGCTCTAGATAAATTGAGTGAAGAAGGTTGGGCTAAGAAATGGAGTTCCCAGCCGTATCTTTCGCGCCGTACGGTGTATATCGATCTCTCTATCTAAGCTTATGCTTATACTTACCATTTGTTAAACCATCGCTTAGTGAGTGGGAGTGAAGAAGTGATGTGTCTTTTTGTATCAGACATCGCTGCGGGAGCTGACAACTCTCGGAATCAAGAATGCAGAGACTCTTGCCATCCCTAGTGTCAGGAACGATGTAAGGTTCTGTCTTGTTATTAGAATATTTAGTCTATCTTTGGAAAGAAATAACTCAAGAGAGTTCTTGAGGTTTACATTGTATGTTAATGGAGGCTCTTCTGAATTCTGATTTAGTTGAGTAATGCAGGCGGCTTTTCTTTTCACAGTAGTCGGAACAACCGGGTTCATAGCTGTACTTGCAGGCCAACTTCCCGGGGTAAACTTTCAAATACTCAATTTTCTCTGGTGTTACAGGTCATGAAAAATATTTGTTCTTGTCTCATTGATTTTTAGTTGTCTGTTCTTTCTTCTAGACAATTGCGTAGGCTATACCAAGAACTACATCTTATAGACCGTGTATACAATGTCGAAAACCATGGAAATATCTAGGTTTCTGTCGATTGTGTTAGGTTCTATATGTGTAGACAGATGAATAACTGTTGAATCTGGACAGGACTGGGGATTCTTTGTGCCTTACTTAGTTGGGAGCATTTCGTTGGTAGTTTTAGCCGTGGGAAGCGTTTCGCCAGGGTAAGAAAAGGACTTAAACACTGCATATTTTATTTGGTTCCATTAACATTATGTACTCTAGGCTACATATTTGGCATCTTCTGCTGTTTTGTTCTCGTAGGCTTCTTCAAGCTGCGATTTCCGGGTTTTCGACGTTCTTCCCTGATTATCAAGAACGAATTGCTGCACATGAAGCAGCCCACTTCTTAGGTACCCTTGAAAAGTTTAAACATTTTGATTCTAAAGGTGCAATGTTCTGATTGTGTTTTATTACCTGCAACTTTCCAGTGGCTTACTTAATCGGACTTCCAATCCTCGGGTACTCGTTAGACATCGGTAAAGAACACGTCAATCTCATTGACGAGAGACTAGCTAAACTAATATACAGCGGCAAGCTTGACTCAAAGGAGCTTGATAGGTAGGGTTTCTTTAATGTCGAAAAGGAGAAAGAAGAATCAAAATCTCAACCCATTGAATCTCCTCCGGTTTCTCAGGTTGGCTGCTGTTGCAATGGCTGGACTTGCCGCCGAGGGTCTGAAGTATGACAAAGTGATCGGCCAATCTGCAGATCTCTTCTCTCTTCAGGTCTTCCTATCTCATCACTCAACTCAACACTCACAAGTTCACAAACCAAAGTTATAACAGCTTATTTTTTCTTAAATTTCCTGCAGAGATTCATAAACAGAAGCCAACCCAAAATAAGCAACGAGCAGCAGCAAAATCTAACAAGATGGGCTGTAAATTTCTCATATCATCTCTCATACATATTTCCTTCTAAAGTATTCATGAAACGATTGTGTTTTGGTCTGCAGGTTCTCTACTCTGCTTCTCTTCTCAAAAACAACAAGACCATCCATGAAGCTCTAATGGCTGCAATGTCCAAAAATGCAACTGTTCTTGAATGCATTCAAACCATCGAGACAGCTTCCTAGATAAACAATCTCTATTGTCTCTTTTAATCGATCCAATTCCTTCACATGAAATTCCATATCTTTTATATATAAAGACACAAAAGTTACAGACTTTCAATATCATCATCTTCAAGCACTATGAAGAAGATTAAAGCTATAGTACTACTATAATATAAACGATGTAATTATACATTTAAAGTGGTATTTATCATTTATGAACTTAAAGATCATCAGACCAATCACTAGGCTTGGTGTCATAGAACAACCCATCAACGATCTGATCAACCAACGAGTCAATAAACGAGTTGCAGCTCACTGTAAAAATCCGTCCAACTCGGTTCCGAGAAATCGTTAACCAAGCGAAAATCGCCGCGCATCCCATCGCGGCGAGACCAGCTCCAATAGCTTCACTCAATCCTTCCACATCAAGTTTCTTAAACAACGAATTCCCCGTAACAATCTCCTCCGTCACCGTCGCCGCAAACACAATCTGAAAAGAGTAAACTCACAAATTAAACCGCGAGATCGAGTTCGAATTTAGGGTTTAAGGTTTTATTTACCATGGCGAGTCTTCCAGAGATGGTTTCAAAGTCTTGACTCTTCTTCGAACTCTCTATGTAATCAGTAAGCGTCTCAAAAAACGGAGACGATGATAACTCAACCTCAGATCCTCCTCCTCCACCATCTCCGCCGTCTTTTTTAGCGATGACCATATCAGATCCATAAGATCTCAGCGTACAAAGCCTTGGTTGAAGCACGATCTTCCCGTTCTCGGCTAAATCGCCACCTCTTGGTCGTTGCTGTATCTGAATCTGCTTGATTGGTTCCGATGATTCGCATCTAGGAGATAAAGATCTCGGTGACGGTAACTGGCAACGAATCGCGCGTGTAGCCATAGCCATTTCTGATGATCCGAGGAATCTTTTTTTGAGGAAAGTGAGTATTTGAGGGGGAAAACAAAAAAGAGGAATCTTCATGGTGGCTGAAGAGTACACGTCGTGTCGTTTTTTGTGAGGTGTCAAGATGTTGTTCGACGTGGCTCCGTTTTGCTTCAGTAACTTGCTTTTCAATAAGTTTCAACTACGTGTCGTTTTGCTTTTATCTATTCGAAGCTGAATGAACCAGATACATTTTAGACCCAACTATTTGACTCTTCTTCTTTTTATGGATGTTTATAGGTTTAGGTCGGTATATTTCCAATAAAAGGCCAAAAATAAGAAAACTGGATATGGATATGGATATGGATATGAATATTTGGGATACATAAAATACCAACTAAATGAGGAAAAAAAAAACTGAATATTGTTAAAATCAAGAATTTAAACATTAGAAAGGAGAGCATGCCATTACATAGAAAGAAAGAAAAAAAATCGATTTCTTATGTGTGATTTTGGTAGCAACCACAAGACACAGATTTATGCATTTGCTCATAGTATTACTCAAAACATAATATTTTTAGGTTTTATATCAATCACTCAAGAGCTGATTGTAAATACTTCTTCTAGATGCTTTTCGGCGGCTTCAAATTGTATTTTCTTGTCTTCGATTGCTAGTGCAGCAAGAGCTTTATCAGGAGGCAAGTCCTGGTAGCTTCTAAGAGCATCAAGAACGGGTTTAGTCATCTTCTCCAATTCCTTTAGGTGCTCTGCCATTTCTAATAGCTCTTTGTGGCTGATCTTAGAAATGTCGATTAACATATCGCGTGCATAATCCTGACGTTCCGACAATTCATTCTCTGACTTATTATACTTCTTTATGTACTCTTCCTCATTGATTGCCATTATTTCCATATTTGTTTTCCAATTTTCCATGCGTGATTCACAAGGGACTACTACATCGTCTTCTAGCTGTGCAAGGTTTTTCTTTAAATACATCAGCTTTTAATTTGTATATCGCTTTTCTTGTATAATCAAGAAGAACATTGGACTCCATTTTCGCCTTAGCTCTCTTCTCCTCCACTCCAGTCTTCCTTAGAGAAATGTCTCCCATTGCAATAAGGAAACTGCTTAGTAATATCTCTTCCCAAAATTGGAATATTTAGGGTTTCAGCGGAACACCTTTAAATCACCCAAAATTCACACAATATTTACGATAGTTATAGTAAACTCAATAATTAGAGATCCTTCTTTTCTCTTTTGTAATATATAGTTTGTTTTTCAGTGTTTTTCAATGAAAAAAAAAATCAAACGTGAATTGTTTTGCATGTACACCTGAAACACTTTTTTTATAAATCATCCTAAAGAACAATAACCTCCAAATCCGTCCTCATATACCTCACCACCAAAAGAAACCATGCATATACACACATATCATCATGATCATATAATCACATATCAATCCACAGCCCGAGATCGATAAAGAACGCATTTCTCTGACCATATATTACATCAAATTATACTCTTACGAAGAAGATACTAAGTTCGGGTCCATTATTTCCTTCGGGACTCAACATGTAAAATGTCTCTGAATCTTTAGACCCAACGACTCGTTCGAAGTAAGCCCTCATGTAAGCCATCTCCGAGTCTGGTCCTTCAAACTCCGAGTTCCCCGGCAAAACTCCGGCACCCATCGAAACCGGTCTTAACAACTCCATAACGTTGAGATCTTCCTCCGTCGCGTCACGTTTCACACCGTACCCCGTTTTCTTACCGTTACAAAACATTGTCCATAATGGTTCGTCCATGATCTTGGTCTTCTCTTTATCACCTCGTTTCTCTGTCTCTAACGCGATCCTAACCATCCCTCCGCTAAGTTCTTTTTGTAGCACCATTGTTTGCATCGCAAGCTCGACGACGAGAGATGGTAAACATCTAGGGCTTTCTTGAATCGAGAGGCTTACACGGCCTTTACGGTATCCGAACAAGGTTCCTGTAACTCTTGATCCGCTTGACCCGCTTCGGTGCGGGTCGGGTAAGCTACCGCCAGGGAGGACGGGGATTTTGCAAGCTGCCGGTGTGATGATCGGGAAAGAACGGAAAACCGAACGAAAAACTCGGAAGACCTTTTTGCTTCTCTTCTTGTTTTGATGAGATGGTTCGAGTAACGTGACATGGTGACGTGGCGCCGGAGATGGAGACGGTGACGGAGACCCCGAAGGGATTGAATATGAGTCGGTGGAGGAGGAAGCACCGCTTGCCCTTGGCCTTTGCTCCCCCATGAAAGACGGAGACGTCGACGAGGATACGACGACGTTTTTTTTACGGAAAAACTTCTTTCTATTTTAAAGAGATTAATTCATTTACAGTGTTTTTTTAATTTTGTTGGCCCTTTTTTACCTTCCACACACTTTTGAGTTTTTAGGATTTCTAATTTTGTTTTTTTTGTTAGAAATTGGAATGGTTTTGGAAAAAGGTCTAAATTTTTGTGTTCACATTGTGGTTATAGTTTATATATAGTTGTTGTTTTTATTTTGAAGTGTAATCAGCCAGCTCTATGCTCTATTTTTAAGAGTAGGAAACGAAGCTGTAAATTTCAAAACATGTGAAAACAAATCTAACGAGTTTCCAAAAATAGAGAGATATACATAAAGTTGTATAGTCGTTTGGTCAGGTCAATGTACAAGAGTAATCGGCTGTAAAATCTCATATATGATATCTAAGTCCAACTTGGTGTATAGTGGATCTTGTAAGCTTGTAACAATAATTTAACCAAAACACAGTTAATTCAATCAAAATAAACTTCTAATGTTGATGTAATCAAATAAAATTAGTATATAGTTATGGTGTTAAATGTTGGGAGATTTATATGATAAATCAAACTCAATGCAATTCTATCAAACGTACTATATACTAGACTATTGATACATAGTACGATGAAGTTCTATGGATATTCAAGTTTAGCATATCAATTGCTTACAGATAAAATGGTAACTTCAGTCTTGCATTATTGCATGTATTATATCTTGTCATAGATATATTAAGATTTAAGAGTCTTGACAAAAAGAGTAATACATATTATCTACGCTTATGTATGTATGACTTGACAATCCATATGTTTGCGTGTGTACGTGAACAAGTTCCAAGATTAGATAAAATTTTATTAATCTGGCGACAAACATAATATTATTCCTTCCATTTCAAAAATATAAGATGGTTAATTAAGATAAAAATACATGATTTGTTTTTTTTTTAATATCAAATATATTTATTTAAAAAATATTTATCCAATCATGAATAATAAATTGTCACAAGTTATTAAATATATTATTTAAACAAAAAAAAATATTAAATATATTAAAATTTGCATCAAAACTTGCAAAACATCTTATAATATAAAATAGAAAAGAATCTCCAAAACATCTTTTATTTTGAAACAGATGAAGTATATACTATGAAGTATTTATTTCTCTCATAAAATTTACAAATCACAATACCTCATTATCCTACTATTTAATTTCTCTATACGTTCAAGGAAAATTAGAAATGATTTGCTCATAAATTTCTCTATACGTTCCGGCTCGATTTGAGTTTTTCTTTTCTTTTTTTGGTGAGTTAATTTTCAGGTTAATATCTTCTTTGAGTTGGTTGGGTTATGTTTTTATTCATAAATAAATATTAGCACCGAAGAACCTGAATCAAAATTGTGGTTTGGTATTAATTTCAATTCTGAGTAATACTCCTAATTAACCGTATAAGCATTCAGATTGTGACTATTCCAAGTCAAAATTTTATATTAAATTTAAATATGGTAGAGTTTGCATTCGTTTTAATTTAGAATGTGGTAGAGTTTCAATTTCCTTAACATTGCGTCATCCTTTGCATCAAACTTATTATTTTTTTTTATTTTTTTTTCTGCATCAAACTAATTAATTAGTGAATATCAATGTATTTGGTACTGGGACGATAAAAGACAAGTGAATGGAGACAAGAGCGATACTTATAAAACCAATTAACAGTAATTTAATAGTTGTAAGATGTAACGTTAATTTTCTAACTTCAAATAAAATAGAATATAAGAAGACGTCAATCAATAAGTACATATTGTTTGTTTGTTAGTTTTTTCATAAGAGTGGACTCTCTATTGCAAATGGAACACTGGTCCAAAGAGGTAGAGAGAAAGAGACAAAAATAAAATTCCATAAGCAAAGTTATGAAGAGCAAGAAACAAAAACTATATGCGTTCGCCAACACATCTTATTCACAAAATTAGTTGTTTTTAAAGAAGTTATTTTGGTATTGTACAAAAACATGTTTTTTTTTCTTCTGCAAATGGTTCAGATTACAATGAACGGCATCAATATTTTTTTATCTATCTATTTTGATTTTTAACGCGATTTAATTAATTGATTTGGCACCCTAGTTGTTTTAGTCTTGAATTAAAAAATGTAGAAATTCTGAATACGTTTTGTTTTTATTTTCTTTAAAAGGGTATTAAATGCAAGGTAGGGTGTGTGTGTGTAAGAACACAGAGAAGCAGGTGAGGTCAAACTAGACACAACACTTAATGCATTGAGCAGAAGAAGAAGAAGAAGAAGAGGAAGAATTAAGAAGAGAAAGAAAACAAAAAACATGGAAGTTAATGGAGAAGAAGAGAGAAGAAGTAGAAGAGAAGATGAAGAAAAAGAAGATTACTACTCTCTTTTCAACTCTCCATGTTCTGCTTGTGACAAAGTTGTTCAAGCCATATTGAAGTGTCTTGGTCTTGAGTCATCATCAATACCACCACCATCATCCTCATCTTCATCACCATCATTAGTAGAAGAAGAAGATCCAGGAACTGAAACTGTAAGCTCTCTAATCTCTATGTCCTACAATCGGTTCTTATAATAATTATATAATAAGAACATTAATCGGGATTAGCAAGCCAATCCGGAGGTAAATCAAAGATACATCAGCTTGAGAAGTACATAGTTTAGGAATTTAACGTGGGGAAAAGGAAGTTAATATAGGAAGCTAGGAATTAGTACTTAAACCCTAACTGAATTTTTGATGTTTTATTTTTATTTGGGTCACACAGTTAAATTAAAAAAGTGACTGCGTAAATTGGATTTAATGCTAAAAGTCATAATATCTGCAATAAACATCGTATTTATGTTTCATTATATATAGGTTGAAGAAACAGGAATTATGGCGAGGATTGCAGGAGTGTTAAGAAGGAGACCAAGACCACCTTATAGCTCAGGACGACCTGGTCAAAACAATTGATTCTGATTAACACTCTTAAAAAGACAAGCTTAATTATGTCTCTTTGTGTGTCTTCTTGTTGTTTAAAACTCACTTGTGATCTTAAAATTTCTTACTTCCATTTTTTTTTTTTGGTTCTGTGAGCGGTTTTGTTTTTTTTTTTTTCTTTTCTTTCTTACATGCTTTATTTATCTGAAATAAGACAGTATCGGATAGTCTTCTGTAATTATTATTATCTGAATTAAACGGTAAATTATCTCAAATAAAAACGATATTTTATAACCAGACTGCAAGACAAATTGCAAATTCTTTTGGGATCACTGGATCGATCTTGTTTAACATCAGTACAAGTTTGGAATATTTTAAGTAGAACCGAACCGAATTACCAAACCGGATCACAGTTTCACCGGTACAACCAAAATGCAAGAAACCAAGCGCCTTTAAATCATTTCCATTTCATTCTCATCATATATACAAGAAAAAAGGAGAGGCCTAGAACCACAAGACCAGGTCCTACAAAATTATCACAGACCTTTGTTTTTCATTTGTTTCTTATTTATCCTCTAAAAATCTATAATCCTTCTTCCTTTGCTCCCCACCCTAAAGATCATTCCTTCTGTGTCTACTACATCAACAACCGCAACTAACCCGAGCTTCAGGTGTTTCTTTTGTGATCATCATCGTCTTCTACTTCTTTGTCTCTTATAACGTCTATCACCGTAGCATTGCAGAAAAAACATCTCTGACAATTGAGAAGATGTCTAGTTATGCAGCCATAACATGATCGATGTGAACACGGAGCAATCATTGCATTAGCCTCCCCCGCGTAGCAGATACAGCAAGTGTTGTCTTCTATATCCGTCGTGTCTTTGTTGAACAGCTCTTCTTTTCTTTCGGGTTCTTGCGATGAAGCCCGGTTTATGAGATTGTTCAAGAAGTTCTCAAGTTGTCCAAGTTTCTTTACATACGCATCATCCCCGCTTACACAACCGTCCTGAAAATGTTTTTTATAAGCTGTGTCAGTAAGAGAAGCAAACGAGCAAAAAGTAGATTTAAGAGCTTACGTACCCAATTATATTCCAAGAGATATTGAAACCCGTAATAGACTGTATCGGGACAGTCCATGCTTGCAAAAAGACAAATTACATCATGTTGTTTGTTCGGTTTTGAATCGTCACTAGCCTCCAAAAGATTCAAGATTATACCAACCAAAGGAGCTAATAAGATCCCTCGGCTAATTTTCTCTGAAGGTTGTCCTTGCCGTCTAAGTGACCTGGCCGAGCTCAAAACCAGAAAAAAGATATCAGTTAAAAATGAGCGGGAACTGCTTTAGAGCTGTTTAGGATATTTTAATGAACTTACAGATCAAAGAACTCGTCATCTACTGCTGAGGTCATGTGATTCAAGATAAAAAGAATCAACTCAGTGAGCCTACGAAGATTTGTGTCAGTCCCAGCAAGAAATGCTTGTGGTATTGCGAAAGTGCAGAACTCTAAGACTCTTGCGAGATTGCTTGAAAGCTCAAATATCACACAACATTTCCTTTGCTGAAACTCCATTACCTACATGAAGACAAGACGAATCAAAAACCGGTCAAAGAAAAGCACATAGATAGAAGACTACATATACTTGCAAGGGTATTGCAGATTAAGCAGCACGATCATTCAGAGAAAACTATTAAATTACTACGAAAACTTAATCGATGAAAAGGATCCAAACTTGTAATCTGACCTGATACTTTTCTTGCATTTCCCGCACCGAGACAGAAAATTCAGTAATGGTCCAGCTCAGTGTGTTGAATAGCCGGTTAAGAAAAGTAGAGAGTAATTCACCATCATTGATACAAGCATCTCGTAGAAGCGCCTAAACGGAAAAAGATAATCAAAATCCAATATGTAGGCTGAGGATCAAATAGGAACAAAGTTACAACAATCTAACCAACCTGAAAAACAGTAGATGAAACCGAAGACTCCCCGTTCTTTAAAGAACTAAAGCCTGAACCTTTGCAAAGACGAAGAAATATATTTGTGACAGGGATCCAAGATCTGTTGTCAAACGTTGCCAGTAGTGCTGCAGGCATGTGTCTAGTAGCTGCCTCATTGTTCTCGAAAGCTTCCAAGTACTCTTTGTACTGTACCAGGACGGATATTGACTGGAGAAGTAGATCTTTAAGATCTGTATTCGATATCCTTGGATCGTTGAAGTGTGTAACTACGAAAGTGATCTGGAAACCCAACAATTTGCAATGACCATGTTAGAGCCGTTGTGCAACTGACCTAAAGCTAACTACCTACACTCAGACATGAGAAGAAAAAACAGACAAAAAAGATTGTGTGATAAGAGATTTAGGCATACAAATGATGAAAGTCCTTGTTTGATAAATGTTGTTGACGGGACAAACGGAGGATCGCTCTTGCGAAGCACATGGAAACAGTCTACCTGAGGAAAATATCAAAGAGATTGTAAACTTAAGGATTTAAAACCAGAGATAATGCAACAAAATAAGTTGTTGGAAGATCTACTAGCTTTCATCAAAGAGAAACTGAAAACATGTTCATTTCTATTAAGAAGTACATGAAATGGGAAAAGCTATTTACCAAAGATTCAAGGTAGAACTCTGGAATATAAACAAACACAGAATCTATTTTGCTGAGAACCAGAAGTAGCTGTACAACCCACATGCACAATGCATACATTCCTCTTTGCTTCCATTGAGAGAACAATGAGATGCGGAACCTGTACAAAATGATTCAGAATGAGCAAAGGCAAAAATATAGAGATATAAGCATTGTAACATTGCTTCACATGAATCATAATTAAAACCTCTTCACTACACCCTCCTTTTGGAGTTAACGCAATCCATGAGTTAAGTGAAACTTACCATGCGGAATGTCTAACACACTCCATCACATCTTCCTTGTAGTTGTTGCGAGCTTCCTTCAAGCGCTTTAATTGGTCATTAGAAGCCCGCTCTCTTATCTGTTTATCAGTTTCTTCAAGAAGTGATATTGATTGCGTTTGGTGAGACATGTAATATGAGGCCTAAGAAAAGCGGAAGGACAACCTATCAGCCCCTCAAGCTTATTCAGGTTGCGGCATGTACCGTACAAAAAACACAACAAAATATAAACAAGAGAGGAAAAACAAAAAATTTACCTGCTTAAAATTTGGAGCAACAGCAATATGGTATAATAGCAATAGAGCATCCAATAGTTCTTCTTCGCTTAGTATAGCAGATGAGATTCTACTCTCTTGAAGTGCAGTCCGCATAAATCTTACTGGACGATAACCAAAGTCAGGGTCAGACTGATTACTTGTGCTAGGTTTGTCCTCAATTTCTTCACTGAAACTTCCAGCACTACATTCTGCAGCAACATGAGAGGATCTCTCAGGAATAGAACTGCATCGACCTTGAGAACTTTGAGCAGTATTTTTTCCTCGATCCTTCAAGGATTTAGTAAGATCGGTATCATAAGCTAAGCAACAGCATGGCTTCTGCTCAGTCGCATGAGTTACTCTATTCTGTTCATCATCCATACAACCTTCTTCCCACCGCATAATTTCTTCTTCTTGATCATCTGTGGGGTAGGACTTTGATATATGACTAAATAGCCCGCCAAGCCTAGTGATATCAGCTCGATGTGGATCATTTTTAAGAAACAAACTCAATGGAAACTTCTGCTGTCCACCTCTGTGAAGAAAACCAACATTGTGATGGACGGCTTCACTACTCTTCAGCATTGCGAAACCTTCTGACAAAAAATGGAGTATAACTGAGAACAGAGAGACAAGAACCGAATTGCGTGTAACTCCAGAAGGGGCCAGAGTCCTATCTGCGCCTCTGTTCTTCAATAAAAGGTTCTGTAGGAATCCCCGGAAAGCTGAACCAGGAAGCTGGGGAGGTGATACAGGTGGTATGAATTGTATGACCAAGAGACAGAGGTTCCTCTGCTTCTCCTCAATCTGAATTCCAAAAGAACGAATTAATTAATTATGTTCCCATAATATCAGATTCCAGACAACTATATCCAGAGGAGAGTTATGCCAGCGGTTATTTATAGCAAAAGGAAATCAGTCAGAAATATCCTACCATACCTTGTTAATGGCTTCAGAGAGAGCGGAGATCGTAAATCCCATGCTACTCTCGTAGGATATATCTTCAGAGGATCCAGGCCACCAAACAACAGGCATTAACTGCTGTAAGTCATGCTTGTTGGAACTCCTGCATGACAAGAAACCTTCAAACAAAAACTCGAAATGCAAAGATCTCCACCATTGTACCATCAATTCTTCCCGTTTCAACAAATGACATGCCAGCGCAAGATAGGGATATGGTCCAGAGTATGGACATTCGGTTAGAATCAGTGTCGCTGTTTTGCAGCCACAAGCCAGAGCGTTTACTACATGCTCAAAAATCAAATGAGATTGTGGGAACTCAAGAAGCACATCAAGAACTTTGTCTAAACTTGACGAATCATGCGGTGCTTGGGATCTGAAAATCTCCAAGAGGAATGACAGAAATGCACCCCGTCCCAAGTACTCAGGCAACAAAGGGTCTTGCTCAAGTATGTAAAAGAACTCATCACATATAGCAGAGGAAACAGGGGAAAAGAGTTCTTCAACCGAGGCAAATCTCCTCAGTCGACTTAATGTATCAGCCAACGAGCGGTCTGGCCTATCCAGCAGTCTTGAGAAGCATCGTAGTAGCTCTGTTGCAAAAGAAAATCGAGGTGGAGCTTCTTGAAGAGGTTGGAAGCCTTCAACAGGGTACTTAAACGGGTAAGCGCCGAAATTTAACTCGCATCTCTCACCTTGGGAGAGAGATATAGCAGGGTAATACCCAAATCCAGGTCCAAGTTTTCTAATACCAGTAAATGCAGCACCGAGGGAGACACCATTCCTATAGAAGTATATCTCATCACAGTTCAAATCTATGCAGCAACCGATGACATCCCCAGCTACCCATGATTGACCATAAGGTTCAGCATCCTTGTTCCATTTGCTTACCCTTCGACCATCAAAAGCATATGAATCATCAGCATCACCCACACCTTTCTGGTCAGTGAAAGGACAAGCAAGTGTTGCCCATCCAAGTTGTTGAATTCCCGAGGTCTCTAAAGCGACTTCATACATCCATTTTCCTTTCCAAATACAAGCATTAGCCCTGGCGCTACTGAAAAGTGCTAAGCTCTCCAATACAAGAGGTGGCTTCACAATCCTGATATCACCACATATGCTATACTCTTCAAGGCCGACAATACGAGGTCCAACACCATGATGAACTACACTGATTCCTTCTCTCTGACTAACTGAAACATCCAATTCACCATGAAGCTTCGAAAACTGATTCTTAATCACGGCTCTAATCAAGCTACTGTCTACTTGACCATCCAATGGACCAACGGACTTTTCAGCTAAACCAAATATGAATTCGATAGTCCGTTCTAAAGGGCGGTGACCAGAATAATCAAAATGTGGAACAATACGAGCTTTCGACGAATTCTCTTTAGCATCTTCACCATTCAGTAAAACAGCCAAACCAGATGAAATCATACCAACCCGTAGGCTGTCTTCAGCCATATGGCATTGATTGTGAATCAAACGCAAAGGCTCTTTCAACACAACCAATTACAGGGAATCTGTGGAGAGAAGAACAAAAAAAGTAGCATAAGTTTCCAAAAATCAATACTTGAATCAAAAAGCTTTCAAATTTTAACAAAAAAACAGAAAGCTATTCAATTTCAATTAATTTGAAAGAAAGAAAAAAAAACACAAAATCAGAACGGAAAATTCCAAACTCACCGGAGAAATTGACATCAAAACGATTAACCCAGAAGCCAAAATCAATCAATACCCAGATTCTTCACACCAAAGACGGCGGACTCGTGTTAGGGTTTTTCAAATAAATTAAAAAGGAGAAGACTTTTCGCTTCTTTTTTTTTCTTCCTCGAAGAGAGAGAGAGATTTTTGCGCCCAAAATTTTTGGGGAACAGAGAAGAAATGAAGAAAGAGAGAGAGGAAGGAATCAGAATCAGAATCAGAGAGAGACCGGTGGCTAACACCGAACGAGCCAATGGATCATGTGGCGTGTGGGTTTTAAACTGACACGTGTCGGTGATAATGACGTGGCTAATGACGTATGCAGATCGACGGTGTGGTCTGGTAACTTTTTTAAGAAGGAGAAGGAAGAGGAAAGTCTACGATGCGGACGCTCTTACGTTTGTTTTGACACGTGGCGTGGTTGATGTTAACGTGTTCATAAATCAAATAACGAAATTACAAAAAGTAAACTTTGCTTTTTATATTCTTTTACACGTGAAGATATTTCCTGTTAATTTGGTTTAATCAAAAATAGCAAAAAAAAGCTATCAAACTTAGTAATTTAAAGGTTAAAAAATAAAAGAATTTTAACATGAGTATCACCACTATTTCAAGAAAAATCACAAAAATAATATTTATTGTTTGAGTGTTAATTTCACCACAAAATTCGTTTTTGTTTATCGTCTTAAATAGATCATTATCAGGGTTGATTTGGCTTCTGTCATCCGAATAATTTCCGGATGTGATTATAATCGTCGAGTAGTGTATTCACCGGATTTTGAATAGATCTATAAATAAAATATTATTACGACTGAGTTATCAGTACTGAAAAAAATGAATAATTAAATCTATATATAATAGCAATCTAATAAATACCATTTGCACATCTGAACGGTTGTGTCTTTTTATCGCAACCTTTCGTTTAAATCGGTTATTTTTTTACGGTTATTTTGGTTGCGTCTTTTTATCGCAATTTTCTTTTTAATCGGTTATTTTTTTACGGTTATGTCGTTTACAATAAATACCATTTGCACATTTGAACGGTTGCGTCTTTTTGTTGCAACCTTTCATTTAAATATTTATGGTTGTTTTTCTTACAGTTATTTTTGTACGGTCATGTTGTTTTATTGAATTTCTTTTTACGTAAACCAATAAACTACATATAAAATTGGTTTTATTTCATAGTTTATATATGGATATATTTAGTAGTATAACCTCCTTAATTATATCATTCATTTAACATTTACGTGATATCATGGGAAAACAATAATATAGAGGTTAAAATAATTTGGACATACGTGAGTGAAATGAGCCCCACACATTAAAGCTTTAACGGACACGTTCGTCTACGTAATGGACTTATCGAATAGTTGTAAAATCGTGCCTTTTCAACTCTATATATTGTCTTTCTTTTCGAAATTCCAATTTTTTGTCCTGCTACAACGATTATTTGTTCTACGATGAATTCAAAACAAATTATATGTCAAATGGAATCAAATTCTTTACTGTCTAAATTATTTCTAAACATACACTTTTTTAATATTGAAGAAAAACTTCTAATTTTTCATTTAACCAAAGATTTTTGGAATGATTTTGAAATAACAATCTCAATAAATGTCTTTTGCACATCTGAACGGTTGCGTCTTTTTATCACAACCTTTCGTTTAAATACTTACGGTTGTTTTTTTTTGGTTGTTGTGTTTTTTTTATCACAACCTTTCGTTTAAATACTTACGGTTGTTTTTTTTCGGTTGTTGTGTTTTTTTTATCGCATCTTTTCGTTGAAATATTTACGGTTGTTTTTTTCGGTTGTGTCTTTTTATCGCATCTTTTCGTTGAAATATTTACGGTTATTTTTTTTACGGTTGTGTCTTTTTATGGCATCTTTTCGTTAACATATTTACGGTTTTTCATAGTTATATTTGTTCAATTACATTCGTATCTTTTCAAAAATATTATAACTTTTTGTTTAATATTTTTTATTTATGATCGCATCTTTTCACCAAAATATTTTCTAATAATAATACCAATCTTAAAAAATATTTGAGTGTTTACGTCTTTTTATCATATCTTTTTGTAAAATATATTTTAATTTTATTTGTTCTTAAAAAAAATTGTTTTGAAACTTGTTGTCTCAATTCATTATGACATTTCGTTTGATGTTTTTTTCTTTAAAATTTTTTGAAATCTTTTCCCCCGCGACATCGCGGGGGATCTAAGTCCTAGTTTTATTAATACTATTCTTTTAAAAAATTGTAAATCCAGTTATTTGGTTTCCAGTGTAAAAAAAATTTAGATGTAAATTTTTTAGTTGTAGGTTCTATAATCTTAACGGATTCACAAAAAATTTCAATATTAATATTATTCGTTGACAAAAAGATTCATAATCTGGAGTTGACTTAACAAAAAAAATTAATTTGTAAATAAATTGGCAAGCCATTCTTATATTCTTAATACATTATGCAAAGAAGAGTGTTAATAATGTAATCACGAAAACTATTCAAGTTGATGTAAAGACGATTGAAATCGACGTAACGGGACGACGGAGCAGTCGTTGACAAGTCATCGGAGCTTTTGCAAACTTCCGATAGACACACGACCTTGTCCACCTGAGAGTACACATAAAATATCCACTCGCTCTCTGAACACACAACGTGGCAAGCGATGAGACCACTGTCGGCTAATGGCTAATAAAAGAAGTATCGTCCACGAGTTCCACGTTGATCAACAGTCACTTCACTGGCTGCTGTCTCTGTTGTTTGGAAAGTGACTCCAGACGGCATCGTTTTAAAGGGAATGACTAAATCGCGGCGTTTTCGTGTGATGGAATAATTTTGCAACCGCGACCACTTTAATTTATTTTTCGCTTGTTAATAATGTTTAGTAACATATTACGAATATTAAAATATAAACTTGTAGTATCAATTAGGGCTCCTTCACCTATTTTTTTCTCTTCCTCCAGCCGCCTCCAACACCAACGAGTCACCGCAAGAGAATATTTATTGACCGTCGCTGTCGCTGTCGCTGTCGTAGTCGTCATTAGTAAAATTTCTCTTAAACTTGTTTACTCAGCTTTTTTGTCTCTCCATCAAAGTAAAGTCATGAGGTCTTTATGCAAAAAAAGACTCATGATGAGACGAGCTGAAAAGTTCATCAACGGATCTTCTTTCTCGTTTTCATCATTACCATACGATGTAGTTTTGAACTGCTTCTCTCGTGTCCCGAGATGCTATTACGCAAACCTCTCTCGTGTTTCAAAAACCTTCCGATCTCTTGTGCGTTCTCCTGAGCTTGCACGTAGGCGTTCCTCCTTAATTGGCAAAAACAATCCCGTCATTTGTGTCTGCTTTACAGAAGCTGATAGTTTTGGAAGGATATTTCATTGGTTCACTTATGACGCACACGAGAAGAAGATAAGTAGTGCTCTTAATGTACTTCCTAGACAGATGATGTGTTGTTCCATCGTCTCGTTAGGTTCCACGATATACTTTATTGGTGGAGCCATGGGCCATACTTCCACGAGCATTAGGTTCTTGGATCCATGGTCCGGCGAGCTGTGTGAGGGTCCTAGCATGAAAGAGGCTCGCATGTTACCAGGCGTGACAGTTGTGGATGGAAAATTATATGTAATGGGAGGTTGCAGCCAAGAGCAGATCCAAGTGGAGGTTTTTGATCCAGAGACTCAAACTTGGGAAGTTGGACCATTAAATCGCCATGTGGGAATCCAGTACGGACAAGGAATACCAAGTATGCGATATGGATCGACTGTGACCGAATCTGTTGACGTGGAAGGCAAGGTTTATGGTATGAGTTATTCTAAAAGTAAACACATAATCTACAATACGAAAGATGGTATATGTGAGACTTTTGAGATGAAAGAAGAAAAGACATGGAGGAGAGGTGGAGTGTGTGCGATAAACAATGTCATCTATGTTTATTACAAGGACCGTGGGTTGATGTGGTATGACTCTAAAGATAAGGTGTGGAGAATGGTCCATGGTTTTAAGCTTGATAAGGGGATTGACATGCCTGTTGGAATGGTGGATTATAATGGAAAACTTGCGGTTCTGTGGGAAGATCTGGGACGTATTATTAGTAAGAAAACCAAAATGAAGAAGATTTGGTGTACCATTGTCGCGTTGGATAGGATTGGTGGAGTAGCGATCCGTGGAACGGTCAAGTGGTCTCGTCTTGTTTGCTCTGTCCCTATTTACTATGACGTTTGGCGTTGTCTACATGTTTCTGATTAGTTTAAACTTGAAAAAGATGCTTATGATGGTAATGATATATGTTATGGTGCGAAACGTTTTCTTACTTTGAGTATGACAAATTTATGAATTTAGGGGGTGTTATTCAATCATGGAGTTAAAGTCAATTCTTTAAGGATTAAATTTGCTTTCTGATATTGTTTTTAAGAATCTGTTTGTATGGATTTCAAAATCTCTGTAGTATATCTTGGATTTTGATTCTAACAATTTACTCATGAAACTCCAAAGAAGTTTCATTTCAAATGATTTAATATACAAAGATTTTACAAATCTTTTAGTTTTGAATAACACTGGATTTTAATGAAGTATTTTAAATCTTAGTTGAATAACACCAAACTTTTAAAATCTAATGAAGTATAAGATCCAATAACACCAGATTTTAAAGTTAGATTTAGAATCATTAGTTGAATAACACTGGATTAGTGTTGGATTTCAATTCTATTAAAATCCATCATCGAATAACACCACCTTAGTGTTTTAGCTAGTCGACTTCTATTAGGATTTACGTGGTTCACTTTTCGACTTCTAGTAGGATTGTAATAGATTTGGCAGGCTAGGTTTACATCACATGCCACTGGAATATCCGCTTGTGGCGCAATGATAATGATATCTTACTCCAAAATTTGTTCACAGCAAGTGAAATTTATCTTTTAATATGATTCCTTCGGCCATGATTAGGGGTTTGGGGAGAGACTCTAAGGAGAGAATGAATGGCGTAACATAGTGAGAGAATTAACGTCTGATCAAGAAGAGATAAGAGGAGTAATTAAGAAGAAAATCCAATTGAAATGTA